ATATATATATATATATATATATATATATATATATATATATATATATATATATATATATATATATATATATATATATATATATATATATATATATATATATATATATATATATATATATATATATATATATATATATATATATATATATATATATATATATATATATATATATATATATATATATATATATATATATATATATATATATATATATATATATATATATATATATATATATATATATATATATATATATATATATATATATATATATATATATATATATATATATATATATATATATATATATATATATATATATATATATATATATATATATATATATATATATATATATATATATATATATATATATATATATATATATATATATATATATATATATATATATATATATATATATATATATATATATATATATATATATATATATATATATATATATATATATATATATATATATATATATATATATATATATATATATATATATATATATATATATATATATATATATATATATATATATATATATATATATATATATATATATATATATATATATATATATATATATATATATATATATATATATATATATATATATATATATATATATATATATATATATATATATATATATATAATTATATCTATAATTTATTATACTATAATAATAATAATCAAATAGTACTTTTTATATCATTTTTTATAAATTTTGTATTTCAGTTTGAATTTCTAATGTATTATTTAACTCTGCTATTATTATAACTTATAATATATAACTATAAATATAATAATATAATATAATAATAGAAATGTATAATATAATAAATAACTACAATTTTTGCTCTCATAATTTTTTATTGTTATTATGATCTAAAGTTATTACTTTTGAGTATTCTAACAGAAAAAATACTTACAAAATAAAGCATTTTTAGGTGTAACTTTTCATAAATAAATGTAGTCCATGTACGTCAGTTCTAATTTTTGATTATTATTAATCTAATGACTTCCCATTTGTGTTAAAAAATTCTTCTCAATTCTCATTCTAATTGACCAACAACATGGTCAAAATGATCAAAAGCTATCTAAATGAATTAATGTCACACACTTTTTTCTAAAAATACAAATAAATAACAATTCTCAATGTTTGTGTTAAGCTTTGACTTGCGTGCAAATCAAAATAACCACCATGATAGATACAATTAGGATCAGTTTTCCAAGCCCTGTTTATAAACCTTTAAATTGTCCAAACTGGATTAAATACAATAGCATGAATTAAAAGAAGAAGTTTGGGAGAAAAGTGTGTGTGTGTGTGTGTGTGTGTGTATGCTGTCATAGAGCTGGTGCTGTCAAAGCTCAGTGGTCTGAGTCTCTGCACTGGAGGAGAACATTTCTGTGGACACTCAAGCAAACAGACAGAGAGAAAGAGAGAGAAAGATATTACATAAGCATTTGCATATTTGAATATGCTTCATCCGACTCTGATGACTCAACTAATGCCACTAAGTGTTTCTGCATCCTCACTCACACACACAATTATTAGTTAAAGCATTTTCTGGTGTATTCCTGATCTAAGTTTCAGACCAAAAATTTCATTCATTTTCCTATCAATTTGAATTGAATTGTATCGTATTTCTCTGCTGGCCTCTTATTTGTGCATATCGCTGTTTACACATCTGCACACTAACAAACCTGTACATGCTAGCACACAGCCCCTGCGTCAGTTTTAACTAAAACAGCGTGTCCTACTTTTAAAATTCCAACATAAATAAATCATACTAATGCAGCTCTTTCTATGAACTAAATGTCTACACAGCTAAAGAATCAAATATAGAAATCGTAAAAGTGTTTTAACTTAGCTAGTAAGCTACTTGCTTCTAGTTTATCTCTGTGCTAAAAGTTACAACACAATTTCCCCATATCAGAAGCTGCATATTTCTCTGCACATTCACAAACCTGCACATGCTAACTCAGTCACGGTGTAAAAGATTCAATAGTGTCTTTAGCTTAGCAAGTAAGCTAAATTCTTCTAGTTTAGCGTCTCTGCTAAAAGCTACAGCATCTTCCACATATCACACACTGCTTCACCAACATAAAGGGATGTGTAGGTGTTTATATACCCATCTATACGCATGTGTGATTTACTTCAGGCTAAACATATGAGAGGGCGACGGTGCAATATAAAAACCCACAGTGCACAGGGCCAAGGCTGCTCTCTGCATGTTCTCTACATTTTCTCCACACACGTTTCGTTTGTATGTTAGCATGAGAGTGTGTGTCAGTGTGATATAGTCAGGAATCCATTTTGTCATCCTTGGCTGTTCCTGCATTTTGTGAGAGGGAATAAGGCGGTGGAGGGTCATGTGACCTGAGAGAGAAGACGGATCAAAGTGTGAGAGCATGAGCGAGATTACATGACACTGAACAGACAGAGAGAGATTTTGTTTTTAGATGGAGAGCTTTTGGGAACCTGAGGCAGGCAGCACTAGAGACAGGCATTTTAGAAGAAAATTTAGTCTATTTAGGACAGTTTCTACTTCGTTTGTGATAACAGCATGGCCCGTTCAGTTATCTAAATAGCTAACTTGTTTATAATAATCAAAAGCTATATTTTCCCTGTGGTTCTAGAGATCCTCAGTATCTCTCATTTTGAAGTTATTCCCACATGCAGTTCAAAGCCAATTTAGCTTCAATAAACAGAAATATTTTATATTGAAACTGCACATTAAGCCATTGACGGAATCGTGAAACTCCAACTGTTAGTTGTCAGTCAGTTACACTATACATACATTTTCTATTTAGCTTGGTTTTTGG